GCTTTAATTTTTTTAATGCAATATTTAATTATCCTCTTAAGATCCTAGGCTGTGGTTTGTGGACATTAATTGTATTAAAAGCAGACAGACTGGTCACGTGAGGTGTCGTTTTCAGATTTTTCTAGTGCTTAATAGGTCCCCAGGTTTTTTTTTTCTTTCCCTTTTTAAGAAAAAGGAGGGTTGGAAAAAAAATGCTAGGAGAACTTTTAAGAATAACAAGACCAAGCCTAGCATGAGATGAAAAGAAAGGGTGTGTTTTCTCTTCTGTATTTTTTTTGTCTGTATTCTCAGGAGGTTTGTTGGAAATAACCTCTTATTTTTTGCTCTGTTGCAAATGCTTTGTAACTGTTCTAGGTGGAAATGGGAAGGCATTACTTGCATATCAGCTTATGGCTGTCAACAGACTCCAGAGGGTTTCCCGGTGTTAGTTCTGTAAGACCCATAAGGTGTTTAAAAATTACTTAAATCGGAAGCTATTTTGCAACAGTTTTGATACAAGCCGGCAAAAGCTGATAATTAACACTGTGTCAGCACAGATTTCCAGTTGCCTTCAGCTGAGGGGAGCAGGGCACTTCTGTCCTCTTCTCCGCTGGCCCTCTTGGCCCTGGCTAAGCAGGATGCGACAGCAAGTGCCTTCGTGCTCCTTGGTTTCAGGCTGTGCTTGGCTCCTGGGTTTCTGTGCCTTTGGCTGCCCGGTCCTGTCCAGAAGGGTGCCATCCTACCTGTTACGTGGTGCCTGGGGAGGGCAGCGCTGGCGGTGGAGGTGGGAGAAGTTTGCTAGCACAGCTACTGCGGGATTATGCTCTGCTAACTTTGAGTTTTGCAGCATTTTGTGCTTTAAATCAAAATGAGGGTGCTTAATGCAAGTTTTCTCTGTTTAATTATAGCAGCCGTATCAGTATGCATAATGGGCTGCTAATATATTACTCTGGTGGACAGTAGTATTGCTAGCACACAAAAGGTGCTGACTCAGATCTGTCCGCTGTCCTTGATTTGGCATCCTTGTCTTTCCTCAGTTTAGTGTTTTATGTCACTAAGGGCTTTGATTTAAGATACAGCACCATCATAAAAGAGGTGACAGTAACAGCTGAACTCTCTGTTAAAATACTGTATATTATTTATTTCAAACTGTTTGGGTATATAGGCTTTTTCCTGGAATTTTATTACCTTTTATTGGAGGCCATTTCAGGATTTTATTACTTTTCTCTCTGATTTTGTTTATGTGTCAGAGACTTGAAAATAAGGGAATTGCTTAGTTGTCATCTCCAGTGAGGTTTTTAGAAGATGTTGCTGAGTTTACGACTCTGCCCCAGAACAGGAGGAAGAACAGACTAGTCAGGAGGGCTCTAGACCGGGAGTGATTTTTTTTCTTTCTCCCCCTACTTTCTGTGTGGCTTTGGGCAAATTACTCCTTTGTGCCTTGAGTCTGTAGTGGTGAAGTGAAGATAGCACTTGCCTGGCGTGTTGAATTGTAGAATGTTTTGGGCTGGAAGGGACCCCTAGAGGTCATCTAGTCCAACCCCCCTGCAGTGAGCAGGGACACTGCTAACTAGATCAGGTTGCTCAGAGCCCCGTCCAACCTGGCTTTGAATGTTTCCAGGGATGGGGCCTCCACCACCTCTCTGGGCAGCCCCTTCCAGCATGAGGTTCAGAAACTGTAGTAATGGACACCAATGTAGTGGTCATCAGTCAGAGAGGGGAGGGAATCCAGAACTTGCTGGAAATGGATCGGGCTGAAAAAAACTGCCCTGCCAGGAGGATGTGCCAGTGTCTAAGTAAGTGCTGCGAGGTGCTGGCAAGCTGGAAGTCCAGTGCTATTGGCAAAACGGGGCTTATGCTGTCTCTGAGTGTAGGCTCAAGAATATAATCCCATTTTTGCATGACATCTTTCAAATGCTGTAGAATATGATGCCACAAATATGCCCTGGACACGGGAGTTTCTGCCTGCAGTTTCCTGTTGCGTGGAGCAGTGTGACGGCACTGACTTGGTGTTGCCAGCGTCACTCTCTCTGTCTCTCTGGGACATACAGCCCCTTGGTCATCAGGGCCAGGGCCCCTTGCCTTCTATGGTTTGTGCTGGCTTGTTCTTCCTTACGCCCCGCTTTCAGTCACTTGAATACAGGGCTTTCCCACGGGTTGGGGCAGGTTAATGGGGCAAAGCTTTGGGCAAGAACAGGCAGGAATTCCTCTCTTGCCAAAGAAACTCAGCTTACTTGGCCTGTGTACAGTTACAGGTTAATCCTGCTGTCCATGGAGGTGTGTTCTGTTCTTGTTACTACTCCATAGGGAGGCTGCAAATATGATTCACCTTACAAGATTTACAATTGGATAAAAATATTTGGCTGGAAATCCCTGCTGTATAAATGTATTGGTTGAAAAATTAGCAAAGAGCTGTTTTACCACCACCGGGGGTGGGGGGATCAGTTGTGGAGTAACATGTAAGGAGAATCTGAAGGTTTCTCACAGTCTGGACCAGCAGCTGAAGTTGTGTGGGGTTGGTATGCAGCACTAACACGTCTCTGAGCATCTGTCTATCCGAGCACTCTTCTGAATGTTATGACCTTCAGCTCTCAGGTGAAGGCTTCATCCAAGGTTTCTAAATTTCCATTTTGGCCACAAATGGAGACGTCTGCAGACGCTTCCAATTTGGAGCTGCCCGGGTCATCTCTGTACGATTCATGAGTATAATGCCTGCAGGCGACTCTGCATGCAGAAGCAATATTAGGAAAGTATTTAATGCATTCTGGCGCTCTCTCTCTCTCTCTCTCTCTTTTTTTTTTTTAAAAATAATGCAGCTGATGAACTGTAAATGAGGAGAGCTAAGCATCAAGTGACCAGTCAGACCCCTGGAGACCATCAGTAATTATTTTGTGGACACAGAATGAGAAACTCTGACTTGAAATACTAATACAGGCTCTTGTCTTTCTGCTGGTTATGGAGGAAAAGAGATTTTGAGGCCCTCCAGGGAAGTAGCAGGAGGGCAGAATCCTTCACAAAATTCTCCCACCTACCCCCCCCACCACCCAGTATTTGCCATGAATTTAGACTGGCATATTTAGCTAAAAGTCCCCTTCTTCAGCTCTCAGGCTCAGGTCCCCTCTAATGTTAGATTCCTCGTTGGTTTCTGATGCATTATGGAGCCTTGCAACTGAAAGAGGGAAGCCAAAACCTTTATTTTCTTCTTTCCAACAAACCCATTGCAAGCCTTTTTAGTATATCTTAAAATAGCAAACAGGGCACAAGTGCACTTTTTTCCCTTCTTAATGGATGAAATTTAACTACTGTTCCTTGATTTGTATTACTATCAATGTTACTAACAGTCTTCCTGATGCTGGAACAGCCTTTGAATGCCAAATCTGAAGAGAGGAAACTGCTGTTGTGTTTTGATGATGGTAGTGGAAAATTAATATTAAAACAGATGAGATTTTTTTTTTTTTATCTAACTCGGCCAATTTTTGCGGGTTAGATGTTGAACTAAAGAATTGCCAAGCAGGCATTTTCTGTACAGATAATGAATTTGCATTTTATTCCTATGTTTGTTTTATTTTTTAAAACAAGTGGTCCAGTCCACCTCTGAGCACAGGAGAAAACATTTACAGTACAACACGAATTGTGACTGATTTATAGACCTTAACTGTTGCTAGCCCTTTCTCCTATTTGTCCATGAAATGCGGTATGTTGTTTTAAAGGCCTGCTAAGATGTTCTAATTTGAATGAATTGCTCACTCGGAGACAGTCAGATGTACAGAAAATTAATTTCAGTTACAGTCACTCATATCCTCTAACACTTTAAATGAAAACATAGTGTAACTAATAAATATCTCTCAGCATGGGCATGCTCTCTTTAAAGCCTGATTAATGATTCCATCCTCAGCATAAAATCCCCACCCTGTTAAGGTGAAGAATTGTTAGTTGATTTAAGCACTTCACCTGCCTGAACACTTGAGCATATTTCATAAAACATTTGATGAATGCAGTTTAGTTTTGCTGGGCTAACAAAATGTTCACCAGCAGCCTTTGCCCACCTCCAGAACGTAGCTGTGTTCCCTCCCTGGGGTCTGCTTAAATACCCCATCCATGCCGTGCTTCCTTTGCACTGAGCTGTGCCTTGTGGTATGGGGACTTGCTGGGATAACTGCTTTCCAGGGGCTGTTGCATTTGGAGCTGTGGTTCTGTCCTGGACTCTGGCTCCTACAGTCTTTCATCAGCCCTGTGGGCTATATAGCGCTTTCATTTAAAATAAAAAAAAGTGTTGGGGGAAAAAAAAGAAGTCCATATTTTGTGTAAATTCATTTCCTATCACAATGATCTTTTCATTTCAGTTAGATTAATTTTACCAGCAATGCCTGTGTGCAGAGGGCACTGGTAACAGCCAGATCTGGTGGGTCCTGACCCGTATTCCCTGGCTCTTCCAGGCAGGGACAGAGGCACGTTCACTTATACGTTCTCCTGAGCCAACTTCAACAAAATATCTGTTACCCAAATCTCAACCTGCTAATTGCTCTGTTCTTGAGGCCATTGTCGGCACTGGCCTCATCGCAGGAATGTGGTTGTGCCTTTGGAGCCCTGGGCAGGTGTAGCCTCTGTCAGTCCTCTGCATTCCCCTTTGTAGGCGAGCTTAGGATGGAGATAACTGCTGCTAGACTACCCTGCAGTGAGAGGTAGGGCTTTGTGTTTGTCCTGTCAGTATACCACCCTATGGAAAACTGCCCAAATCCCACCAGCATCAAGTCCATTTTACACTGATTTTTTTTCCATATATCTGCCAATTCTGGCTCATTCCCTTGTTTCCTTGTGTTTCTTATTTTTCCCCCCCAGTTTTAATTTGTGGCTTGCTTCTAACAGACTGGTTCATCTCCGGCACTCAGGCCTTGACTTGTCTCTCATGCAGGGCTTCCTGTGCAGCCAGATGCCTCGGAGCAAATTCAGAAGCTACTTGGCATTCCTTTGCTCTGAGTTTGTCCCCTTGCCTTCCAGAGGACCTTGAAAATAATTAAGCAAAGCCTGTTTACTGGAGCTTTGTGTGGAAGCAGGTGAATTTCAGCCTTAATGAATAATCATCTCTGTAGAAACCCTGATCAACAGAATTTTTCTTGATACTGGTGGAGGATGAGGCATTTCGCTGGGTAATAAACATAACATTAAGTGAGAAATCACTTGCTGGTTATCCCTGCTGGGTAATGCATGCAAAAGGAATGAGCTGCATAACAAAATTGTTCCCTTGCATCACGCAAAGAAAATGCAAGGATGCAGTGGTGCTAAGAACTATGAGAGCGCTAAAATGAGGGTAAGAGGGGGTTGAGTTGTGTCAGTTCTTTCCCTCAAAAAACTCTCTGTCACAAGGACAAAATTATCCTGAAACCATGAGAACCCCGTATTTCTTATGCAAGTCCCCTTCCCTTTGCTTTGCTCTAACAGAAGGAAATTTCTTTTCTCTAGGTGAAATTTGGAACCTGTAACACTCCCAAGCCTAGCTTCTTTGATTTTGAGGGAAAGCAGAAATGGTAAGAGGAAATCCTTGTAATTCCTGGCAATTTCTAGATCTGCTTTTTGTTTCACCTTGTCTCATCTGTTGACAGATTATGGACCTAGAGGATGTCAGCTCTGAGAGTCTGCCACTGAACTGGCTTTAAATTCTTTTGTTCAACAGGGAAATGTTTGCTTCTATGCCTGATGAAGACATGAAATACCAGATTCCTGTGTTTATCTTGTTCATCCAGAATTAGCCTGCAAACAACAAAAATTTTCTGAAAATAGCTAGAGCTTTACAACAGGTTTACATCATTAAGACAAACTTATGTTCTAGCCTGGATCAGGATCCCCTGAAAGATCCTTTCACAGCGGAGTGCTGCACTGGCAGTGGCCATTCATGGCTTCAGAGAAAAGTTGACGCATTTCAAACTGAATGAAAGATGGCTTTGCACCCCCTGAAAATATTTAGATGAATCTGTTCACTGAGTTCCACTGATGACACTATAAAAACACATTGTGCTGTCTCCGAGTAGCTTGCTGATCTTTTGCTCTCTCTCCTAGGGAGGCTTGGAAAGCCCTGGGAGACACAAGCCCTCATCAAGCTATGCAGGAGTATGTTGCTACAGTGAAAAAACTGGACCCCAGTTGGAATCCGCAGGTAGGAAACATGAAAATATTGTTCAGAAAACAAACAAGCATTTGTGTCTTTGTAAAGCTAACAATGGTTCAGCTTCACACGGATTTTAATTGCTGAGTGGTAAACTTCATTTCTGAGCAGATTAAAGTAAATTCACTTTTAAAACTTTCCTTTTGTTATGACTGAAACATGAAGAACCATCTAATTCATAATTATCTTCATTACAGTGAGCACATGCACTGGGTTGGTTTGGCTATAGTGATCTAATTTATTTTGCTTTTATTGGTTCATGCTGTATTTAGCATGTAAAGATACTTTTTATCCTTTTCTCATCTTTCTCTTTTCAACTACTATTTAAATGTTGATCAATACAAAGTAATCTCCATCAAAGTGACATGAACTGAATGATCAATTCTAAAAATGTTTCCTTTTTGTTTCGATGCAGCAAATTACCAAATCTGATTATGATTAGGTACTCCAACATAACAAGTGTATTTGTAAGTCCTGTATGTGTGTCTTATAGGGAGAATGTACTGTCATTTTAATTAATCTGTCTTTCATCTAACAGGTTTATTACTTGATTGAATAATTAAGGATATCTCCCTGTTTATAGACTGATTTTTATACCATTTTTAAAGAGGATTGCTCTTTAGAAAAAGTTTTGCCTTTGATTGGAGATAGAGCGGACATATTTCACTGATAGCAAAATGCTGAAGGCATGGTAATTTCTTTTCACGGTAGAAAATTGATTCTTTTTTGGTCCTGTGCTTTGGAAGCAAAATCTTGTGTGAGCATAAGCTTATGAATCAAGAATTTGATTCTCAGTTGTCTTGTGATGCTGTTTTGGAGACTTAAGAGTAATTGTTTTTCTTCACGAGTTCACGTTTCATGGCGTTGATCCTGGTTTTGAAGCAAAAAAATATTGTCCTTGAGAGGAAACCCCTTTTAATGTCCTTGGGGAAAGTAGTTTTATAGCTGTACAGTGCAGTTAGCAAAAGCTAGCTACATGCTGTGTGAATTCTTGTCCAATCTAAAATTCTCATACAGAAATAAAATAATTTTAAAAGAATCCATGTACAATCCTGAATGAAGAAAGTGTCTAGCAGTGTAAAGTGAAACATATGAATATCCATTAAACAATGAAAGAAAAAAACCCCCAAACATCCAACACTTTCCTGAATTTTTATGGGTAGAGCTTTTGTTCATAAAAAGACTTCTCATTCATGGCAATAAGCTTAGCTTTGGGTACTCTCTTCACTTTCTTGCCTCAGAGAAATACTTATCGTCACAGGTATAACCTTCAGGTTACAAAGCTGTCAGCTAGGAAGGTGGAATAATCTGTTAGATTTCTTTTTTTAAAAAAAAAAAAGCCATATAGCAAACAAAGAATGGATTGCAGCACTGCTCCTCCCCTCTTCCCCTAAGGGAAGGAATGAAATGCCTGTGAGCATGTTTCTTCCCATTGCTGTCCTTCCATGAGCCTGTCCCCAGGACTTGGCAGAAACTGGGTGGTGGGTAATGCCGTTGCACCAGCATGTTTGCTCATTCGTGCGTTTCTCTGTCCTCCCTTTTTGAATAGCTGATGCAAGAAGTGTGGGCTTGCAGGAGGAGAGCAATGCTGGAGCTGAACAGAAGTTCCTATGAAGATGGCAGGGCTGAGTTGCCAGAGTAGCTTAAAGAAATGTGATTTATCTTTCTTCAGATGCTTTTGTTACAGCTTTTCAATAGCTGTGCTTCTCTTACTCATATAACTGTGCGTATATTTCTTACTTTTTTTTTTTTTTTTTTTTTTTCTTTAAGCCAATAATTTTTTTCCTCTGTGTGGTCTCAGTGCCTGGAGCTATAATGCCAAGGAAAATCCGTAGGGCGTTATCTGGTTTAGTGTCCCTGCACCGCTTCACAGGTGCCACATCAGTTGTCCTGACTCTTTCCTTTTCCTGTGCCTTGCTTTCCTTTCCTGCTCCTATGACTGAGCTAGAAACCTGTTAAGAGATCTGAGCACTTTACGTTGAAGGAATATGTTCAGGTGCAGAAAAGCCTAGCAGATGAAGTTACATTAGCAGAGAATGTAATTTAAAAGTTAGCATTGAAGTACAGGTGCCATTTCTTTCTTTAAAAGAAGTCACCTGTCCTTCCTACTACATCTTCCTTTTGATTCTGCTTTTATATGACCAAAATGCTATCAGGAGTCCTCTCACTTTGCTCTGTCTCATGCTCCTTTGTACTCTTTGCCCCCCCCCACACCCACCTTCTGGAGCCACGAGAGGGAGCTCTGTTCTTTAAAATGATGGAGATTCATGTGTCAGGATATGGAGATAAAATAGCTATTTTAGTCTTCAAATTTCAAATTGGATTTATAGAAAAGATCTGTGGGTACATTACAAGGTGCTTCATCACTGTCATTGTGTCTCCTTTACATGCTCATCTGCTGGGTTCCTTTGAATTTTTCTTACGTTCAGTAGATCATGAGTGAAACATTCCTAGTATTTTGTTAAAAGCAGTATAAAGTCGTTGGTACAAATTTGAAAAGTTCGGCTTTCAGATCATTATGAATCATAAATAGTAATTACAGTGCAAGGGTGTTGAATTTGCTGTTGTACAGCTTCATTAATTTTGCTGTTGTAAAGCTTTCTCAATATTACTACATATTTTCTCTTCAACAGTTCATCTCATCCCTTAAAGTTGTTTGTGTGTTATCTTAAATCCTTCTCAGTCTCCTGTTTCATATAGTTTTTAATGTCTTGATCCTTTAGTACTAAACATACAAAATTTAAAACTTAGAAACACCTTATCTTTTTCATAGGTTCATTTTTTCCCAGCAGATTTGCTGTTGTTCTGCAGCTTTCAGGCTGTCAGTATTTTTCTTAATAAATAGAATGGAACTAAATGTGGTGGTTTTTATGCAGTCCAAATAGATCCACTTCTTCGTTCCTTTTCCTTGATTCTTCATTGATTCATTCTTTCATATTGACCTTGCAGTTTCTGTATTAGTACATTTTCAGCATCAGACTGTAACTGTTGTAATTTAGTGATCTTTGCTTGTTTGGGATGTAAAAAAAAAAAAAAGTAAAAGCATTTTGATGCAGTAGGAGCACCCTGAATTTGTATTCAGAAGCAATGAGAACACCAGTAGCAGGCAAAATCTCACCTGCTGCTTCCTACTCTTGCATGGAGTTTGGAGAACCTGCACTTTATCAGGAGGCAACTGGACATGGAGAGGCAGTGGCACAGCTGCTCTCTGCTCCGTGAAGCTGGTATGCCACTTCTGATGGTAGAGGCACATCTGTTGGCTCATCTCCACGGCTATTTCCAATGTGATTTAGTTTCTTCTTCACCCTTGCTGCTAGCAGGTTGTTGGATAGTTGTGCCTTATCTTGTCTTTCAGAGCTTTGTCTAAAATCTGGAAAGAAATTGTCATACTGCATTTATCTTCAGCAATTTTGTTTGCTAGGAAATCTTTAAAATAGCAGGTAACCTGAAGAATATTGAGGGGAGATCCATTGTCCTTACATTCATGAACCTGCAGGAATCTCCTTGCTGTGTTTATCTTGAACCCCGAAGTCTAGAACCAACAATCACAATTGCCTTTGGATGCTTTGCAGTTAGGCTTTCCTGTGTTGGTATGGGTCTTAATCTGTTTCGTGTCATAGGCTGTGTTGTTCCCTTTACCCAAGAACAGCTGTTAGTAGGAGCTCAGGACTATACTTTTCCATGCTTGTCTCCATTCTCTTGATGCAGTCTTCCTTCGTCATCTTCTACCTTTCAGTGCATCTTTTGTTTCTTCTTCTTTCTTGTGAGTCATTCCTTTCGGTCTGAAGTTCCAGGCAGTGGAAAGGTAATTGCTTGGACCATCTCAGCTCTATTTGCATATTTCAGAGACATCACCTGTCCTTCAAGTCTATTCACTCTTCTTCCAGAACAGAGAATAATTTATGAAGCAATTCTTTTGCATTCTCTATCCCTAAACAGAAATATTTCATGCCATCAACAACTCCCACTGCTTTGGGTCCGTTAGAGAGGTGTATGCGTTCTGGCTGTGCTTCGCTTCTCGTACATTCACCTGTCGTCTTTCTGGCAGCAAATGACATGTTGCTTTCGGTGGCTTTTGCTGGCATCTGTGGGAGTTTGGCAATGATACTCATCTACTCTCCCTGCCAGCCACCTGCAGCTTATTGCCTACGCGTGCTCATCCCTCTGACCCCTCTCTCCCGCTGTGGCTCTGCGGTACCTGCTGTTGTGGTGCTATCCTGCAGTCTCAGCAGCAGGCTTGGTGATTTAGGGAGGTTCACCTTCGCAAGCTGGTTGTCTTGCATCTTTATGCAATAACTTTGTTCTCGTGTACATCTCTGTCTCTACTGTATAATTGGGCACTGTAGTACTGGCAGGATTTGAGACAGTCTTAGTGGCTCTATTTCTATTCCCTCTGCACACTCCAAAATTCTAATCTCTGTCATGTATTTGATATCACAAATCCCCATTGGCTGTAAGCATCCAGATTTTTCAAACCTCAGGTTGAAATGGGAGTTTGTGTCCGCAGGTACTGACCATCCAGAGGTGGGAGCAGGACAGCACCTCTTTTGCTCAGCAGCATTGCACACATCTCTTCAACGGAGTTTGTGTCGCAAGGGACGTGGGTGGCGGTGTGTACACGACTCTGCAGTGAGGTGGTTAGGAGCTGTTATTGATTGTTTCTTGTAACAAGACGGTTATATGGCACAGCTTAAACAATAAAAATAAATAATAAAAAAAGCATCCAGATTTGCTCATCAGTTTAAGCCTTCCATTTGCTGATTGCAGTTTTGGCATCTCTTGGTTCTAAGTATTTCCTTTTCCTATTTCTTATATTGCACATTTACCAGTTCCAATCTCAACAGCTTGTCATGCTACTAACTTCAGTGACATCCTTCCCCAAACACTTAGAGGCCTTCTTTCTATTGCTTTGACTGCTGAAACTTTCAGAAGGACTTAATGATTTTCTATTTCTATATTTAAAAAAAAAAAAGTTGGCATTTTAACTTGTT